GGGGGGGGGGGGGGGGGGGTCCCAATCCCATTTCCCACCTGAAATTTTGGCAAAATCCCAGTCCCAGTTGGATTTTTATTAGAAATCCCAGTCCTAGTTATTGAAATCCCAGTCAATAAAAAAACCCTTATTTATCGGTAGAATAAACAGTTTTAAGACCTTTAAGCAAGTGGCGGACACTTTATGAAATATTAGGGGGTGTTCGTGCCAAAGGCACGGAAAATTTTTAAATTTGAATCCCGGAAATGGCATTTGCAGCATTCTGAGACACGCATAATCAGAAAACCCAGAATTCCGGGTGCCAGAGTATGCCTGTTCGCAGGTAGTGCTGTGAATAATATAGTTAACAACAAAAATCATGACCAAAGACACCAAAAACGGATCAAAATTGTATTTTAAAATACTCAAAACGCAGAAAAATTGGGAATCGACTCGCATTACCTCAATCCCATTCCCATTTTTGAAGACTTCATTTCCCATTCCCAGTGGCCAAATCCCAGTCCCAGCAACCCAAATCCCATTTTCCCAGTCTAAAAATAGATCAATCCCAGTTCCCATTTTACCCCTTCAGGACCCTCAGATAGAGATTTCTACGAACACAGCTGTGGTGTGCTGGATCATGATTGATTATATAGTTTATCATGCCCCTAACTATGAGTTTATCGACTGTATAATTGGCTTGATTTCATGAATTTATTGAATTATAACCAGGGTTTTTGAATATGCAATCAAACTATAAAAATACTAAATAGAATTTTCGCAAATTTCTTGTAAATTGAGAAGAGGCAAAAAAGAAAAATATTACTATTTAAAGAAGCCAAATATGAATTATTTATTTATTTATATATTATTTAGATTCTCTGTAAAAAGCATTGATATAAAAATTCCTTACATTTAGTTATACTTATATTTAATTCAAGAAGTGGATTTTTGAGCCATGTATTTTTTAGCCATGTATACTATACAAATAATGAATGTTTATGAGTGCAATGGTAAGAATATTTTCATTCGGTGAAAGATGGAATGTTCCATTCAACGAGGCGACAGCCGAGTTGAATGGAACATTCCATCTTTCACCGAATGAAAATATTCTTACCATTGCACGAAGAAACATTCATTATTTGTTTTATATAATACCAAAACAGACTAATAGATTCGTATGAGAAGCATTTTGAGGGATGCGATTTATCGAAAACACAAAGAGTTATTGTACTATACGTTTTATTCCATTACACTCGCGGAGAGTGCAATGGAACGTGTTCCATTGCACTCTTGGGAAATGGAATTTTCTATTCAATATCACGTGACCATAAACAGCCAATTAAACGATTAGAATTTAATAAGGTATTATATAAATATATTTATATAACCAAGTACAAGTTTGTTTGGAAATCGACCAAAAACACACAACAACTGTACTTAAAATCACAAACGAATCTAGAACATTGAAAACATTGGAAGATATAAAATTTCTATCAAGAAATTAAAATATAATGCACATGCTTGTACTGGTCAGAATTTTTCCAGGGGGGGGAGGCAATATTTTGTTAGGGGGATGAGGTCATCCTCATTTTCAAGCTTTGAATGTGAAAAATGGCACAAACATTCAAAAAACATTTATGAACTCTAAATCTAAATCTAACTACATAGGAAAGAGCATTTGCTTCACAGTAAAACTAATCTAAACACCGAACGATTTGATCTGTAAGGAATTCATACTATTTCATAGACTTCATAGTACGAAATTGCCTGCCTCATCCCTCGTTGCTTCAGTTTCGAATAGAGATCAGTGGGAGAACAATGGGCTCCTTTTCTTTGTCCAGTTTTACTTTTGAGGTCAGTGGGTTGCGTGATTACTTGCGTGACTTTGGTGACACTGCGTGTGTTCCGTGAGCTCTTTTCAGATTCAAAAGATTTCTCCTTAGAAAGTGGAATTCTGCACATACAAACGGATTTTAAGCAAGGAAATTACTGTAAGGAAAGCTTGGGAAAACTAAGGAATTTTACCTCCCTTGCCGAGGAATTCCTAATAAAATATATGTGTAAAACAGAAATAGTAAAACGAAATTTAAAGTATGAAATGTCTAGCGTTTTGGACAAACAAGGGGACGTGAGAAATTTTCGCTCGTGGTATTACGATAATTTGGGTCTCAGAGGAGTAGAACAACGCAAAGCATTAGATCTACTACTCAAAGATGACGAAATTGGTAAAACATAGATATGAGTCATTATGACATCATGCTATTCATGCATGTAAATAAAATACTATCATTTAAATCTGGTTTCTTGCACTTCACTTGGTGGTATTAATATTAGAATGCTGTTGTTAGGGTCTGTAATGTGAGTATATATACATTTTAAGACTGGACCAGGAACGACTGCAAAAAATGCAGCACAAGGTCCTCTGGTAGGAATTGAACCTACGACCCTGCGATTCCGGTGCAGCGCTCTAACCAACTGAGCTACAGAGGCCAGCTGTTGAGGTGTAACCATAAGTTCATGTATATATAGGTAATCGGGTGTGCAGGTTGTGATAAGGTGGACTTCAATGATCTTGTTTCTTGCACTTCACTTGGTGGAATAATATTAGAATACTGTTTTTAGGGTTTGTAATCCAAGTGAGTATATATACACTTTAAGACCTGACCAGGAATTACTGCGAAAAAATGCAGCAAATGGTCCTCTGGTAGGAATTGAACCTACGGCCCTGCGATTCTGGTGCAGCCCTTTAACCAACTGAGCTACAGAGGCCAGCAGTTGAGCTGTATAAACCGTAGGTCTTAAAATGTAAAATGGTCTAACCAACAGGATCGTTCACACAGACCTTTTAAGATCAAAATCTGTCAAGAAAATCGTATTTACAACATGTTCACATAAACAGAGATTGATATAACACTCATTCCGCTTAATACTAGTGGGCTTATATTATATGCGGGGGGGGGGGGGGGGGCTTATACTCAGATGGCCTAAATATATTTGGAGGTTTACAGTACTCTAATTAACCCATTGAGCACTGTCCCCTTGATGAGTGAAATCATCTGGTGTTTGAGACAGAGTTAAATAATAAAGTGAGTCACACTGGGGTGCAATGTAACTCAATGGACAAAGTAATAAGCATCCTGGGCATTTATTAAATTTTCATAGATCATATATATATGGTATAAAATATGACATTGTTATAGTGTACTCGCTATCTTTATAAGGGTGGCAAAGACAATCCCTTAATAGTCTTAATTAAGGCACTAAAACTGCAGCCAGTTTATACTTTGCTTCACTCATGGATGGCTGTTCATGCCAAACCTGACTCTCAAGATCAAAACACTCAACAGAACTTAAGCATCCTTGCTCCCAATTAATTCCTCCCATCAAGACAAGCCACAGATCATCATGATCATTTAGGATGGTTGTTTTGTGACCACAGCATTCCAGTGGCAGTTGGCATACAAGTGAAGTGAATTCATCTTGGTAAGCTCTGTTGGTTGGCTCTGCCCGAATTGTGCCTTGTAATTCTTTACGGATTCAGACATATTCTATAGTCCTAGTTGCAATGCTCATACCAGAACGTCCCCCAGTAACCATGACTCGGCCATTGTAGAAATGTGCGGTTGGAGACGCTCTCTTTTCTTGCATTGGTGCTAATTTACTCCATGTTTGATTGGCCAGGGAGTACATTTCAACAGAATCGAGCAAACTTCTGTCACCATCATCTCCACCAATGACAACAATGTTCCCTTGTGGTTTTGGGTGACATGCAGGAGCTGCTTTGACATTTCCTCTGCTCATTTTATTAACAGTGGTTGTAAGATTTCGGATTGCTTCGAGCATTTCATTCTGCGTGTTAAAAATCTCTTTGACCCGATGTTGCACTTGAAACAATTCTCCCTTCACTGTCTGAAAGATAGATATATAGTTTATTATATATAAAACATTGAAGTTAAACACTGAATTTAGTTAAATATTACTATATTTGAATAATACTACAAAAGGTCAATTTACTAATGGATCATTTCATTTATAATATTCACCCCCCTCTCCCAATGGACGAGTTTTTCTAAAGGGTGACTCCAAAGTCGTTTCTGAGGTGTAAATCCTGTCGGCATCCTTTGATCTCCGCAATTTTTCTGAGGGGCAAGGGGAAAATGTACGAATTCGTTGATGCAAAATTTTACATCAAACTTGTGTTACCTGAACATCTTTGCTCATAAAACAGCCATGTTTTCCATATTTCTTCAACGACATGTTCTCGTCACATTCTTCACAAAATACTTGTCTGTATTCACAATCCTCGTTCGTGTGTTCCTCTAAATCTGCCATGTTTACAACAGCCTCGCATCTTTCGTTAGGACACGTTACAGGTTTATACTCGCACACGGAAATGTGAGTTTCAAGAAGGCCAAGCTCGACCAATTCAACACATCCTCGTTCCCTGTGCTTGCAATTGACCATCGAACCATCGAGATAGCCTGTCACAATTCTTGCTGGCTTGGATAACGCTTCTTCCGTGAGTTTTTCCATACAAACGGGGCACGTCTGGGAATTCTTAAGATGCTCTGTTATACAGGCTCTACAGAAAAGGTGTTGGTTGTGGCATTGTACTGGGTCTTTCAATACATCCGTACAGATTGGACAGAAGACATTTTTATCGAGTGAAGTTTGAAAACGTCAGGATTTAAAGCCATATGTTAAGCCATTAGGCATTATGAGCGACAACGCCTCAACTTTTCAACTAGTCAACTGTATTATAAAATGTTTATTTTCATTTTCAGGGCATTTCATTTTTATTTTTGCCTTCATTTTATTTCGTTTCCATTCATGCTTGGAGCCAATACTGTTCAAAACGTAGCGACAATTTTAATACCAAAAGAGCCAAACAACTTTTTCTTGGAAAAGAAGCAATAATATCAAAGCTTAACATGGGCACACAGTCCGATTAACCCATTGAGTAGCGTACTCTCCCCCTGACGAGTAAAATCGTCTGGTGTTAGACAGAGTAAAATAATCTGGCGTTAGAGAGAGTGAAATAATGTTGCATGGGTGAATCTGGGCGGATTTGTGTTATGGGTCAAAAGTGACAACGGCATTAATTACAATAAAACAAGCGACAAACCAGCTACATAACGAGTGACAAGCGACCTGGGTTACTGGCTTGGTGGGCAGTGGCATAACACATTGCGGGCCCCCTCAGCCACGGCCTATAGCCCTGAAAGTTAGAAAACGTAAAAAAAATGCAAGTTAAGAATCAATAGGAAAAAGCAAAATTAACAATGCTAAACAATAAAGCCTACATCGACAACGGTAGATGATTTTTTTATTCCATCTCAAATAAGACAAAAGTTATTCGTATTAGCTGTTACATGCGTTGGAGACTGTTATTGTCATAAAAACGGCATTTTCCAGAACATTCTTTAAATATTCAATGTATAGATAACATCTCAGTCAAACAATGACAACAGTCAACAGGGACCCCCACACCGAATATGCCTAAGGGCCCCCTCTTCCTCCGTTGAGGAGGACAACCAGTAATAAGGGACCGGTCATTATTTATGGCGGGGGGTGGCACCGAAGAGAAAAGGGTTGGGTAAACTAAATTTTGAGTGAGTAAAAGGTTGGGTAAATGAAAAACAAAACAACTCAAGGGTTGGGTAA